CACCAGCTCATTGCTTGGTCAAGAGACATGACTAAGCCTTTATGACATGGAAGTAGCTGGTATACCTTGGCATGTGCTGGAACCTGCTGGAAGGATTGGATGGTCAGGTGACCTGCTGTGCATGGCTGTGCATGACCTCATATGACCTCATCCTTGGTCATATGACCTGATCACCTGACTAGGCTGAGTAAGCAAGATGTTCTAGCAGGTTCCACCACAGAGGTATAAATATAAGGCCTACTCTGCCTGGGACTGTCTCTTCAGACTTGGTCTCTTAGGATCATCCACAGATACCTATACTGTAGATAGGTCTTAGTCATCAGGTCTACTCCACTTCCTTGTTGCCTGCTTAGACTCTTGGCACTCTTAGGTGAGCAGACTTAGTCAGCCTGTGTTGCCCTAACAGCCCCTGTGAGATGCCAGCTTCATGGAGAGTTGATTTCCCTGTGGGCGAGTTAGCATGATGCCAACAAAGAAAAAAATCACACACCATCCAAGCATGCCACCATGCCTGGAATGCTGGACCCATAAATGATGCCACCATGGAAGGCACAGACCGCCACTGCTCCCTCAAATTGTGCTTCAAGATGAACTTGATGAGTTCAACCTGCCCAAGAGTTAGAATCGAAGTTCAAGACGGAGAGGAAGGCTCACCTGGAACTTTGCGACACCACCAATCCTCCGCCATGCTTCATGATCCTTGTTGGGGGAGGGTACCATGGCAAGGAACTTGGGGAGATCCTTGCTGGGTGGCTCCTCTCAAAATTGCATCAGTAGGGAGGAGCATATATGTGGTCTATGCTTACCTCCTCTTTGTCACTTCCCACCAGCTCCTGGGTGGTCTCTCTCACAATGCTTTCCTAGGGAACAGGTTAGCATGGGGCACAAGAAAAAAAGAAGGGAAACCTGCCTTGCAAGTCTCATCAACAGCCTTGTCTCCCTCCTCTACTGTGCACTCTTCCATGGTTGTCTTGGGCTCAGGCTCCTCTTTGGGTTCCTCGTGCAACTCCAACTCCTGTGCAATCCACCTTGAGGAATGGGTTGAACAGACCCTCGACTTCAGAGTCAAGGTCTTCAAAGGGGGTGCGGACACCTTCTTTGAGGGTGTCACCTTTGTGGACACTGGTTTCATGTTTGACTGGGGGCAATTGGCCACAGGCTCTGGCTCTGGCATCTACACAACAGTTAGCAGAGGGAAGGACACTAAGGAAAAAGAAAGGGACACATGGCAGGGGGATCCTCCTCCTCAGGCTCGTCGTCCTGTGACAAATCTACTGTCTCCCTTGACAGTGCCTTCTTCCCAGCAGTCTTTGGCACCCTCAAACCTTTTTTCATCTCTGCGGCAGAGGCCTTCTTGTTTGAAGAGGCCTTGGACTTCATCTTGGAGGACAAAGGCTTCTTACCAGAGGTGGCCCTAGTGCTGGAGGGAGCCATGTCAAAGTCAAGCAAGGATGAGAGAAGGTGATAGGGTGAAAAGAAAGAGAAAATTTATAAGGTGGCAGCATATGAAAGGTCCTGCTGCACCTCTCTTTATACATTGGGTCAGAATAGGTTCCGTCAAGGAAGTTCAAAGGCCTGAGGTTTAGACCACATGGCCTTGATGACTGAATGGCCTTCACACATAGGCCCTGACTCAAACAATGCTCGCACCACCATATTGCTGCCTACTGCCACTCAAAAGGCCACCTCAAACCACCGATTCAAACCACCCCCACTGTGACTCATTAATCTGTTCCAGAAGATTCCTCAACAATGGTAATGTGACTGAGGACAGTCAGTGAATAAGTCCCCCACAAGATGTGCTGCACATTTGAGTTTTGAGTTTGAATCTGACCTTCAAACACCTCTTCAAATGACATGTCAAACTCGGCCAGACCGGACTATTGGAAGTAAGAAGTGGACCCTAGACATAGCATTAGGTAATATAGAGTAGACATAGATTAGTAGTAGTCCGAAGGTCTGAACTGCTCCAAACGTATATAGGAGGATTCGGATACTCCCGATAGGGACCCGGACTCCTCTCTCTCACTTACTCTCGACCTCACTCATTCAAGACGGGTGATCATATAACCTATACCTAATACTACTGCTTTACTTTCTTTACAGTCACTCTTTAGTCTCTCCTACTAGGATCATTCCGAGTCTCGATTCGAACGCTCGACCTGAGCAGACTACATTCATTCACCTTCTTCGAGTCCGTTCTCGAATCCCTCTTCTTCGGACTCCCCTCGGAGTGCTGTGGCGGGCTTCAGAGAGCACACAGGACCTTCGAACTGACATTCATGTGGCTCTACCTTAGGAGTCAACCTTCGATTCGGCCTTGGCGTCACCTAGTTCTAACTACTACAAAGTACGGGCCACTATAGTGGACTCCCCCTCCAGCAAACCTTCTCCTGACTCCTCATTGGGAGGTGTAGAGTACAGAAGCTACAATCAAGATAGTGATGTTCTTGAGCTCATCGCAAGCTTGAGGTCTTGCAGTGGAATGGGTATGATTCGTATTATTGGCTTGGGAGACCCGCGTCACAGCACGCAAAACGGCTACTCAGGACTGAGGGCTGGTGGAAGTCCACCTATAGATGGAGTCATGATCAGACCCGCTCTCCATTGTCAAACAACGACGCACCTTTCATGCAACACATTGGGGACTATGAATGAGAGAACGGTCCTTCAGCAGGATCCAGGTCAGGGACAAACGATGAGCGCATGAGGTGGGTTTCGGTTTGAGAGGGGTGAGAGGAAAAGATGAACTGCAGACAAGATCGTGATCAGATGGGGTGCCTGCGATGAAGGACGACGAATGCTCAGTTTGAGATGTTATGTTGCAGGCGGGGAGTAAGAATGCTGTTTTGTGATATGTTAGCAAGCGGCCGAGGAAGGATGCATGGATGGGAACGTACTCGAAGTCTCATTCTGTGATGCGACACATACAGACAAAGTGCTGAGGCGTGGGAATGGGGCGGGATCGGGAAGCAGCGACAGGGCGCGGAATGAAGAGGAAGGAAGGTGGAAGGTGTTATAGTATAGAGTATTAAAGAGGAAGGAGAGCGAAGGAGATAGGAAGGATGAGGAGGAGCGAGTGTGGGGGTGAAGGGGCAGGAGGAAGGGGAAGTGGGAAGAAGGAAGTGAGTTGGTGGACTGTCAAATTCAAGTTAGACTGATCAGAAGCGCTAAGACCAAATAAACTCACTTTCTTTTTATGGGCATGTAAATTGTAATCTCTTCACCTTAGATCCCTAATGGATTGTTGATAGAGAAAACGGATTCCAAAAAGAGGCGTGGAAATTGACGTCTGAGAGTTAAGGTGTGAGAGTCGAGGTGTGCGAGTCGAGGTGTAGCAATAGGGCGATGCCAGGCAGGAGTTCGAGAGCAGGAAAGGAAGAGAAAGGAGGGTGTTGTAAGAGCGAGTGGTCTTAGAGATTGATAGAGGTTGACAGTGAAGGAAGGGCGCAGATGATAGGGCAAGGGATGAAGAGGAACAGGGTGAGGAGAGGAAGGGGACAGGAGGAAGTACGAAAATAAGGAGTCTGGGTAATAAAAACCGTCAATTTTGTTAGAATGATGCGGAGCGCTACTCACATGCATGTTCTGGATTATCCATTGTAATGTCTTCGCTTGGATGCTCGACCGTCTGATGATGGGCAAAGGTGCTTCGTGGCGGGAAATGATGCAAGGCCATCTACAGAAGAGCCCATGACCCGATGTAGCCTTGGTTGTACAACCACGGTTCACCTCTACAGCACCATATTACGGGTCTATACCCAGGCAACCAAATTGTGAACAAGAAGCAGGGTCGGTGGAAGGGCGCACTCGATGAATGGCGGCAGAACGGACGGCGAGGAGGATCATCGAAGAGAGGGTGAGTCGGAGGGACACATAGAACTACAAGCAAGATCGTCATCAGATGAGGTCAGTGCTTGAAACGACGACGCACCTTCAGTCGTATTTATTATGAGCGTTGAGCAAGACATCCGTTTGCAATATCTTAGCAGAAAGAGAGAAAGGAACGAGCCTAACCTGCTTGACATCTCGATTTGTGACAGGAGGAATATGTGGACCTACAGTACACGTGTCAGACCTTGACTCTCACAGAGAATGGGCACTAACTGTGTGCATGCCAGTGAACTACTGCTCAGCAGGTTATCATGCGTTTCTATCGCACCACCGGTTTGCCTCGACCCAGCGTGAGAGACTGTCAAATGTATATCAGATCAATGACGGGCGCTGAGCCTAATTGGACTCACCATCTATCATCGACATTGCCACGGTAACCCGCTCGTCTCATGATGTTTAATACCGCCCGAAGATCAGCAAAAGATGAGCAGTACTATCTCTGGACGAACCTCTGATCACATACAGTCTCTGTTGTACAGCCAGGGCGCACATCGAATACAACACATATCGGACCAGAAGGCGTGTCAGCAGGGGTTAAGGACGGAAGACGAGCGCGAATGTTGTGTCCACAGTGTGCTTCGGTCTGACAGGGGAGGAATAATTGCAGCTGCAGACGAGCTCATGATCAAGTGAATGAATGCAGTGAAAAGACAACGCACCTTCGGTTCCCGATAGCGTAGACGCAGTAGAAGAGCTCTATTTACCACGTGTTAGCAAAAGGGTTGGGAAAGGAAAGAAGGACACCAACGGACTTCAAGTCTTTGTTTGTGGAGGGATGAGTACGGAAGCGCTGAGGTGGGAGAGGAGCCGGAGTGAAAAATGGAGATGTGCCCGGAAGAGGTTACGGGGGGGACGACAAGGATGGATGGAGGATGATAGACCATGAAAACGGAAGGCGGAGGGAGGGAGGAGGCAACAGGGGAAGGACGGTGGAAGAGCTCAGCTGCTCGATTGTGGTCAGAACCGATGAGACGGGGTATAGGCTCTGAAAACACGATGGACCTTCGGAGTTGGGCATTGCAGGTACAGAACGGGGCCTATGCTGGTCATATGTTAGCAAGAATAGAGAATGGAAAGAAGGGTATCGACGTACTACGATTGGCAATTTGTGTTGAGACCCAACAGGTTCGCGGTACTCGGAAAACAGATCTATAGATAAACTGAAGATCAGAGGTAGTCTCTATGTCAGATGATAACGCGCCTTTTATTGAAACAAGATAGGGGTGAGCGCAGCGGAAAGGATGGCAACGATGGGCGACATTCAGCGGCACGACGTCCAGCTGCGCATGGGGTCATGGCGAGTGCTGTGAAACGCGGGCATACATTTGATTACACCTCTATTAGAGCTGGGGAAACAGGTATCTGTTTGTGATGTGTTAGTATGGGGTGCGAAAGGAAGAGAGGTTCCAACGCACCTTAGATCTCGGTTGGTGACAAAAGTGGGAATAGAGCGGTGCGGGGAAGGACGGGGAAGGATCACGTGGGAAGATGAGGAAGGATTGAGTAGAATGAGGGAGGGGGAGGGGAAGGGAGAGTGGGGGGTGGTAGTACTGAAGCAAGATGCCATACCTGGCGCAATGCTGGACGCGCCCTTCATATACTGCACGTAGGAGGGGAGTTGAAGTCCTGTGATGGATGCAATGAAGATGTGATGGGTCTTGTGATCAGCCCAGATCACTCTCAGAGACATAGAGGAACAGCCAATTGCCACATTAGCATACATGAACGCGACACAGATCTGCATACCAGCATCACGGATCGGCAGCAATTGCGTCCTGAACTGAACCAGGCGCGCTCAGGATTACGTCACATGGCAGGCAAGCTTGGTGGCACGTGAAGGATGGGCACATGGACGCCTCGGAGTTGCGGACAAACAAGACACCCGCATCTCCGAGTCGACACACGTGGAAGACACGTGCAAATTCTTCACGTGTCACCGATCCATGTCTCGATCCGGGCCGATCACGGGATCCGTCACGTCCTCATCGCGTCCATCACGGGACTTCAACTCCCCTCGTACGCGCAGTATATGAAGGGCGCGTCCAGCATTGCGCCAGGTATGGCATCTTGCTTCAATACTACTATCCCCCACTTCTCCTCCCCCTCCTCCCTCCTCATCCCCCCTCCCTCATCCTATGTCGTTCTACTCAATCCTTCCTTCTCTTCCCGCGTGATCCTTCCCCGTCCTTCCCCCCACCGCCTCATTCCCATACCTTGATACTTCGTTGGTATACCTCTGGTGACAAACCGAGATGTAAGGTGCGCTCGATCCTCCCTTCCTTTCTCTATCCCTCTAACAGCAAACAGATGCCTCTTCTCCTGGCTGCAGTAGGTGCAACTAAAGGTACGTCCTTGTTTCACCGCACTCATATCATACCATGGCCTCATATACAGCTTTATGTTGCCGTCGCACCCGTCCTCGGCCCATCGTTGTCATTCTTTCAGCAGCTCTGGCCCCACTCATGTTTCAAAACAAGACACGCCATCGTCTGAGATAGAGACTGCTTGTGATCTTGGGCTCATCTACTGTAGAGGCTTACATGTTTCCTGAGTACCGCTAAGTCGTTTGGCCTCAACACGAATCAGCTACTGCAGTATATCGACCCACTTGCTTTCTTTCTCAATCCCTGCTGACTCACGACAACTTCGGCCTTGTTCTGTACCTGCGATATGGACTAACAGCGTCACTGCAGTACGTCGACTCCCTTCCTTCCTTTCTCGATCCTTGCTAACACATGACAACTTAGACCTTGTTCTGTGCCTGCAATATATCTATCTGATGGTCCGTCGTGTTTCCTTGACACTCTCCTTTCTCTTCCTTTGCCACCCTCCAACTTCCCTCCGATTCCCCTCCACCCCCACACTTCAGCTTTCATCACACCTCAGCAGTTTTCCCATCTCCATCCCTTTCCACCTTGAGGTCTAAAGTATGTTCACGCCCTTGCTTTCCCAATCTACACGCTGACTAGCCACACTCCCACACTGTAATAAGACCTAAAGTACGTTCACGTCCTTTCTTTCTCTCCCAATACCTTTGCTAACATGTGATGAACAGAGCTCCTGCACCTATAATCTGGGAAATCGAACATATGTTGTTCTTTTCCTGCAGACATCAAGCTGAACCAGAGCTTGTCTGCAGCTGCATTCTCCCTGTCACGCCTCCCTGTCAGAAGGAAGACAAGCATTGGTCCTATGTCTCATACTATTTTGATCGGTACTGACACTCTTATAGATCAACTACCACTGCTGAACGCTTGTCACAATTAGATTTGTCTCACTATTCATAGACCCATGTCTGTCTATCTCTCACAATCATACAACACGTGTCCACGCCATCTGCCATCTACAACAGGCAATTACCACATCTGCATATACGAACTGCACACCTGGGCTGTCACAATGGCAATTCGCAAAGACCTTGACGCCAGTGGAAGCATGTCAGTTTCATATGGGAGGCCGCTACATGTCAAGTACAAAGTGATGGAAAGAGCAGATCCATCGTATGGGGTGTTGTAATTGACTGTTCATACATTTCTGACCCCCATTTTTTGTGGAATCCTTACTTCAAAGAGCTTCCTGGTCTTGCCTCTCAGACAGTTCTTCATCTGTTCTCCATTCTCCGGTACCCGTCCCGTCCCCTCAAGTTGCTTCAGGTTATGGGTACACCAACGTTCTATCAACATTCGGTGTCTCTTTTCCCGTCGAGCAGAACAGCAGCATCTGGTTCAACGGTCTGGTCTTCTCCGACAACTTAGGGCCGCTATTGGTGCTGGATCCACCCCAATTCTGGTTTGGCTGTCTATTCCGCATGCTCGCGGCTCTGTCCGCTACATTCTGTATATCACGGCCTTCCAGGTTACGCTATCCCCAGAGAAAGCAACTCCGGAATTCCGGTTCGGACCCAGTGGCTTGGCAGTACGAGGTATGGCTGCAGGTTGTTGTCAAGAAGATGCTCGGGTATGTACAATGCCACTGGGCAGAGATTGGTTACGTACGAGAGCCCCTTGAATTCAATCCTAGTGCACAACACAGTTTGGATTTGAGACTACCATTAGCATAAAGCATGCCCGCAAGCCTACATAGAATTACATCGAAACAAACGGACGGGAAACAGAGACTAAGACTGCAACTGGAACTGGAACTGGAACTGTAAAACACTGAAGGCTTTCCTACTCGTATCCCACGACAATTGGGCATCTCGAAATAGTAAGAGGAAGAGAGGCAGAGGAGTGTGGAGATCAGGAAACACTAAGCATCGAACACGCGAACACGAAAGGACCGAACGCAAAACGCAAGAGTCCGACAACACGTACATGAACTAAACGAACGAGGTGTACTCGTGATACTTGCGCTGCGTGTGCATTGATAAAGGTTGAGGTATGTGCGCCCAGCGACCTGCGTGTGCTAGGGTGCGAGAGTGGTATGGTGGGAAGGGGTAGTACAGCGCCTTAGGATAGGATAGGGTAGGGTAGGGTAGGGGATGAGATGGAATGGGATAGGATACGTGAGGTAGGGTGGGATACGGTGCGCTGGCGGGTGCGCTCGGTCTATTAAGAGGCTTGGGAGAATGGAGCAGGTGGAAGTCGAAGTGGAAATCGGAAGTCGGAAATCGGGAAATCGGGTCGGATGAGATTCAGAGGCAGTCGGAGTCGGAGAACAGTTAGTCTTCATGTTCTTTTTTCGTGTATTTCGGTCGGATAGCCAGCAGGCAAGAGCGAGGGGTCGGAACGTCCAGCCAGCCGCAGCCGCACGGCAGCACACACTCCAGCCGGCACTCAATCCTCTTCCCCCTCCTCGTCCTCATCCTCGTCGTCCTCCCCTCCAAGCCCTTTCATCCAGATCATCGCTTCCCTCATATGAGCCGGAGGCAGCCCACTCCCTCCATACCAGGGCGTTTCCCACACTCTGAGCTCCCTAGCCCCAGGCTGGAGGGAAGTGACTTGCCCGGGGACGTACGGGGGGGGACGCTCGTGTGAGGGGAGAGAGGAAGCGAGGTGCGCGTGTTCTGTTAGGAGCTTGTTACGCTCTGCGAGGAGGGACTCGACGTGCTCGATCGCTGACCGCGCAAGTACAAAGTCCTGATCAGCTGTCCTCCCCCGGGGTTGAGGCAACGAACTCACTCTTTGTAAGGACAAGCGCTTCGCTCTTTACCACTCCTCCGAGCCCGAACTCCTCTTCCTCTTTTCGCTTCCTTCCCTTCCCCTTCCTCTCCAAGTTCTCTCCCTCTCCCCTGGAGCTAACAGCCCCCACCCCCGGCCCACCAGCAGCAACGACGTCCCTCAAGCTCGGTACGACCTCACACAGCGCCTCGTAGCCCTTGCGGATCGTAGCGCGTCTCTTCTGCTCAGAATGGATATGGTTCGCCTTTTTCTGTTCTTCGCTCAACAGCGCTACAGGCCGGGTCTTGACAGTACTCGTCATCCCAGCCATGGCACGTTTGGTGTCGCTCTCTGTCGGGCTAGGCTGGGTGGGACTCCACTGGTTCTGGCTAGGCGCGTCGGTGGAAGAGGTTTTGGAGCGTTTGGCGGGTGGCTGGGCGGGGGGAGTGGGAGGGGTGCGTTTGGGGTCGCCTTTCACTTCCGCCGTTTGAGGGGTGGGGTTGGGTTTGAGAGGGGTGGGCGTGGTTTGACCTCGCGCGGAAGCGAGGGAGAGGTAGCCTGGGAAGGAGCTGTACCCCTGCCCCTCCCCCTGGCCTTGGGGGGTAGGGAACTGGGGCATGCCTACGTCTGTGCCGCGGTATATGATCCTTTGTTCTCCTGTTGGGGAGTAGTACTGCTGGGAATGGGAGTGGGAGTGGGAGTGGGAGTGGGAGTGTGGTTGGGAGGGAGGGGAAGCGAACCCCATGAGTTCTGATGTTCGTTTCTGGACTTCGGGGGGTATGATTATGGGCTCGAGGATATGGTCTCCTCTTAACGAGGGATATCGTTGTGGTTGTGGTTCCTGTTGTTGTTGTTGTTGCTGCTGCTGCTGTTGTTGCCATATATCTGTATGTGTACGCCTGTCTGAAGGAGAATAAGGCGTATGTGGTGAATGTGGTTCATAGCGATACTGAGGGAGGAACATATCCTGCTGTTGTTGTTGCTGTTGCTGTTGGGGGATATGATCATTCGACCTGAGCGCAGTAGGGGAGTGCACATGACCATGAGAATTCCCATGTGGAAATGTCTGAGTTGATCGGGGACTCGTGCTTGTAGGGAGAGGTGGTACGGTGACAGTACCGTGCGAGTCTGGACGGCGCATGATTATCCCAGGAGGCGTAGGCTTGTGAAAATGGAGGGAAGAAGAAGGTGTAGGGGATGGGTTAGGTGATCGAGAGAGAGAGAGAGCACGAGGTCGGGTTATCTGAGATGGGGCCATGATTGGGTGTGAGTGATGAGAGCAAGAGGACGGAGAAAGGTAGAAAGGTAGACGCACCAATGTGGCGTTGACTGTATTCGGAGATGAAGAAGTTCTTTAGCCCGAAAGTGATATCTCTTTGTTGTGTGGGCAGGTGAATGTCTGGGGTGAGTGTGAATGGGGTGCGACAGCAAGCTCACACGGAGGCAATTAGAATTCGTATAGCCCCGTTCAACTCGGATCACCTCCCGTCTAGTGCTTTTGGAAACCACCCTTGTTTCTTGTTTCTTGTTTCTTGTTTCTTGTTTCTTGCTTCTTGCTTCTTGCGCTTCTGCTTCTTGCGTTGGACACTTGGACGTCGTGGAAGAGAGATAAGAAGTGCTGGGTGAGGGGTGTCCCTTAGCGAATAGAATGCAGAATGCTACCGAGACAAGTCGCTTGGATCGTCGGAGATGCGGGTTACCAGTGCACGGGCGCCTAACCCAGTGCGGGGATGAAGGGAGGGGAGGGGTCACGGGCCGAGCAAGCGTCTGACAGGCTCAAGCCTCGTGGAGAGCTGAGGGGGGAGATGGTCAAAAGGTACACCTCGAGGAGGTGAGGGGTTGAATGTGAAGGTGAGCCAATCTGGTATTATATGCCTACCCGATGCTTACGTACACGCGGTGTTTGTCTAGGATCTGCCGTTGCCCCCCTCCTATAGCTATTACCATGCATTCCTGCACACTCACGCCGGTCACCGCCGTCCCCCTCTATCTGCCGATGTACGACCCGATTTGTGCATGAGCCGATGACGCGCTCTGTCTCACTCTTCAACTCCGCTAAGAATGTCTTACGTACATCCGGTGTTTATCTTCAGTTTCCCTTTACTTGGTTATTCGATCACTGCATATACCCAAGGCACTTCCGCGGTCATCTCCCCACATTCCCCCGCGTACATCCCCGAACTATCAAGAGCACATAATCGTCCCATCAGCCCCTTCCCTCCTAACACCCCAGAAGCTGCGCATCAGCCCACACCGCATTCCAGTATACCTCCCAATATCCCACGAAATCCAGGGACGAGAGGGGAAGAGAAGGCACCGCCCTTTCCCTTTCCTTCTTCCTCCTACCTTCTGCATGCCCTGCTGGCTCGATGAGAGCACGGCACACGATCATTCAGCCTCTTACGTCCCTCCCGAGGGGGTAGAGATAGGATGGGATGGGATAGGACGAGGCACCCTTTCCCTTCTTGCTGGATATATCCTCTCGCCAGCACCCACCCCAGAACGTAGTCAGCATCAACCGACATCTCGGCAGGACCACAGTTGCCACAAGTCTCGCTTCAGGCATATGGACAGCGGGTTCCCGTCCCTTCGGGAACAAACTCCCGATGAGAGATAGCAGAGAGCAGAGATAGCGGAGTTCAAGGGACTTCTCTTGCGTCGTGAAACTTGGACGTCGACCTGCTGGACATCTTATTCTCCCTATGCGATCCCCTGTCCAGAACAGCTCCGGTTCCGCGAACCGTACGGTTGCAGAAGCACGTCTTGCTCTTGCTCTTGCTCTTCCCCCAACTAACAACCAACGACAGCGCACCACGCACCACTGCACGCACCAGGGGACAGCACACCACCCCACCCAGCAAACCAACGTACAGCGCACTTTCACACGGAACGATCAGCGTGACTGCGCTCTCGTCGGAGCTCGAACCTCCCCGCCAACTCGCATGGCTCCAACCCCCGCCCGCTGCCAGCACCTGCCCTTCCCTGATCTCTTCCCCTCCTTATTGGCCCAGCTAACCAGCTAAACACCCGGGTAGGGAATCGGGATCAGGATCGGAATGGGGGTGCACGCCTGACACCTGCACCTGCACCTGCACCTGCACGTTAGTACCGACTGCGACTGGCACGCTCGGTGGTCTATCTGAGTTTGGGAGCTTAACCCTTCTCTCCCTCTCTCTGTTCTAGCCCGGGCGATGCGATACGATGCGCTGGGTTCTAACTCGCAAGTCGCGTCAAGGGAGTTACTCCTTGGGGATGGGCGGAGTTTGGAGTCTGACTCTGAGGGCGAGGGGCGAGGTTACTCCAATAGGCTTGGCTTGGATGCAAGTAGAAGCAGCTCGCAGCTCGCTGTCGGCCTTCTCACACTGACGCTTTTACAGGGCGATCGGCCGGGCGGACGTACACCCGGGCAGGGCGAGTCGTCAGGTTACTACGTTTCCGTTCGGCATGCCAAGTACTCCTTTCGAGGCTGCTCGAACTCGCCTCAAGCTCGTATGACGAGGTCCATGCGCTATTGGGATTCCACTCTGGCTGATCCTGCGCCTGTGCTGCCCGACTTCTGTCGAAACGCGCTACATTCGTGCAATTCGACGTTCTTGTGGGGCGGCGGCGGTCCTTGTGCACGCTCTGTGACAACACCGGTACACTGGCTTCCTTCTGCCTTCTGTGTATCTCTGTCGCCTTTTAGCCGGAACAGGCCGCGACTGTTTCTTGAACCGAAGGTGTATGGGCATGCGCTGCTCGCTTTCGGTGCGGGTACGGGTGCGGTTCGAGCTCCCACTCAGGCTAATGCTCTGTCCACGCGCTCTTAGGATTGTGTTGTGCATTCGTCAGCTTCCAGCTCGTCCTTCGACAGTCAGTAGGTCGGCGGCGGTCCATGTGCACGCTCAGCGACACACTACCTTCCCCTCCGCCTCCCTCGCTGTCCCCTCAGCACCGCACGGCGCTTGCGTTCGTCCCCAAACTAGAGCGAGAAGACGTATGCACTGGCACTCACTGGAGTATGCGAGCTCCTTGCGTTCCACCCGGCTGCCCGGTTGGACGAACGTTCGGTTCAGGGAGGCGATCACTACGGCGAAGGCAAGCACGAGGCCGAAGGAGAGCTCAATACTTGTGCTTGTTGGGGTTGTTGTTGTTAATTTCGATTCCTCTTACCGCTTTATTGGGTCAATATCCACTCGATCCAATATCCAATATCCAATGGTCTTCCTCCTGGTTCTTCAACACTCCCTCTCTGGTCGGTCCTGCGTGGCTCTGCCGACTTCTGCTTTCGATCCGGTTTTGCTTTCGCTTTCGTCTTCGACCCTCCTGGGGCGGGGGCATGTGTAACCAGTACGATACCGTCACAGCCTGCCGACGCATGTCCAGTACAGTCTTGCTCTCCATCTTCGCCGGAACAGCACAGCACGCCGCACCCATTCCTTGCACCAAACTAAGAGTCACGTACGCCGTCTCGTACTAGAGCACGCTGTCCTGTCTCTCTGGACGTACTACTGGGGCGCACGAACGTGCTTCAGGGCGTAACGACAATCATACTGCATAGTGCGGCACAATGATCTCCTTGTGCCCTCTCTATCTCGCTTCCTCTTACCACTCCACTGGGTCAATATCAACCTACTCAATAACATCATCATCCTCATCCTGGTTCCTCAAGTTCTTTGTCCCCGGCCGCTGTCGGTCGGCAATTGCTTCGAGGGCTACGTAGCCCGTAGCCCGTAGCCCGTGTACGATCTGGAATCCGAGCCCCTGGATCTGACCCCTAGACAGGGCGCAACAATACAATACAATCCGATGCAACCATCATCGACCCATCAGCCCATGTCCGATTCCCGTACAACACTCTTACCGCGGCATAGACAATCCCTGCAGGGTCTGTGCTCTCCGGTATTGCCCTATTCGCTAGCTCTGACATCGGCCCATTGATGACTGGCTATAAGGCTTGGCGGCCAGATCTCGGATATGACGAATCCGAGGTAAGGGCCAGGTGTAGGGAGCCCGTAACTTCCTCCTCCTTGTCAGAGATTTCTTGCGGGTTCTTTTCCCTCCGGCAAGGAGGTGCTCTACCGCCGCTGTTGGCTAAACTTGAAACGCACAACAATGTCATTGTCCACCGAATGACTCAGCACCCTTGGGAATCATCTCACCCTCCGAGATTCCGAGGCGTCGCGCTGGCAACCCGCCATACGACACCTCGGTTCCCGAACTCCGGACTGCCCACAGCCTGTCGGGCTCCGGGTGCTATATTTGTCTTCTACGCGGGAGGGACGGCGAAGGGCTCAGAAGCCTGTGTGCTGGATCGTGCGGTTGCGAGGTACCTGAATTTGGGCCAACGGAGGGGATACTTTTGCATCAGTTGGCTTAGGGAGGCGATATTGGTTTTCCCGGCTATTGTTATCTCTGGTCTATCCAAGTATCTGAATGAGCACGTCATATGCTTGGAGCGAAAGAATACCTTTACTGGCAATGAATGAACACCCATACGGTCTCGTGGTCCTTCGACAACCAGCTGCGCTTTTCCCGTCTAGTCCAGTCCGGACATTCTTCTCGTATCGCGGCTCCACTCAACGCTTTCGCGGTACCCAGCGACAACATACGCGACCGCAGTCTGGACCGCCACACCCTCTCGGACCGTTGGTCTCTTTCTTATTGTCATCTGTGAATATTCGCGTACCGGTCAGCAGTGGAACGAGTCCTTCAGAACACACTTCTGTAATATATGTTCAAACAGGGTTTCCCTTCTGCGCACTGGCAGCCGTAGCTTCGGGTCTCTCTAGCCACCGTTTACCGGCGGATCAAACTCCCGGAATTTCCACCAATACATTTGGGTTGCTCTGACACGCTCATCCGCGGAGCATATTAAACGACGTACCCTCTTTGATTACTGAAAACGTTCCCGGCGACCCGTCCCGACAGCCAGTCCGTTCAAAAGGCAGAAAGGTGCCGATGTCCAGTCAAAATCAGTTATTATTAGAGGAATAGAAGCATATATTGGCTTGAACAACATGCTCTCGTTCGGCTATCGGTAAGGAAGATGCAGTGGCACGTGGTTATCGTTTGCATGACAGACGTGTCGAGAGCAATCTTGATAAGGTCCCCATGATCTCCATCTGCCTGGGGACGGGAAGCTCTTCTGTCGGTCCACAATTTCCTCAAGGGAGAACTATTAATGATCTCGGCCTGTGGATCTCCGCCAGAAAAAAACACTTGCAACCCTGAAATCCATATGGCTGTTTTGTGCCCCTCGGTATCGGAGAGACGCATGCTGCCGATGCGTGGATCCGGCCGTCTATTGTGAGATTTATTAAAAAGGCATTAGCACCTCGCTGCGGTGACCCGGAGACGGAGTTGGTAAGCGTATTGATTTGTTCTCCACGAACGGATGTCTATTTCCTATTCCAGAGCTTTCGAAAGGTGGTGCCGGTGCTCACGGAGGTAAGTCTAAACATCGTCTTTCATGAACCACACGGACAAAAGAAGGGTCCGGTCAGAGTCACCGAAGACTAACCGCATCGTGATGGGTTGCTCCGCATGCATGATCCCAGCGTGCACACGTGAGGAAGAGAGGAATTGAGCGGTCCGAAATAACGTTGATTCATTCACTCATGATACCCCATAACTCGTCGTAAGTTGAAAAAACGCAGTCCATCCCAAACGCCTGCTACTGCTTCTCATGCACATCCGTCACGTCCTCGATCTTGTACTCCCCAAACTTGCGCGCAGTGATACGCCTCTCGAACATTACATCGAGCTCATCGACAGTGCGGTTCTTCGTCTCGGGGATGAAGAACCATGCCCAGACGGTGCCGATGGCACCGAGTCCGCCGAAGATGAAGCCGACCTTGCCGCCGAGGTTCGCCTCGTCGGGGTTGACGCTGGAGACTCGTGTTCAACAGAGATGTCAGCACGAAATACTGATCAGCTCACAGATAGGGAATGACAATGTTTGCGATCATGCCACATAAGGAGTTTATGAGGATACTGAAACCGACAGTCTTTGACCGGAGCTTGGCAGACGAAACTTCAGCGAAGATGACGTAGCCTAGAGGACCACTATAACGGCGTGAGCTAAATCCACGTCTGAGACCTTAGAGTCACATACATCCCGACTTGGTAAACTAAGTTGTAGATCAGGGTGAAGATAGCCATAGCCCAGTTCGTGCTGGTCCTGCCTGGGAGTGCGAGGAACGCGATGAGGAAGTTGACGATGGCGCATCCGACCATGCCCCAGTTGAATAGGAATCGACGTCCGAACTTGTTCACGTATACGCCAGCGATGAGGTTACCGACGATCTAATCAAACGATGAGCGTGTTAAGAGTTCGTAGGCAAAAAATTGCTTACACCAATAGCAGTCACACCGACACCGAGGCGGAATGCATTTTCGTCCGCAAAGCCGGCCAGCTCGAAGAAGTAGGTAGAGAAGCCGAGGACGAAGACGACACCGGCCACTTGCTGAAGGACGAACACCATTGACGCCACGATCGTCCTGCGCAAGTTGACACCACGGAAGAGGTCGAGGTAGGAAGCGGAGGCAGCTTCGCGCTCCTCAAGCTCGATCGTTTCCCTAATCTGGGCTACATGTAGGTCGAGATCGAGATCGGCACCAGCGAGCCTGGCGATAACCTTGCGAGCATCGTCGTTGCGGCCCTTGCGGACCAACCACCAAGGAGACTCGGGAGCGAAAGGGAGGCCAGCGAGGAGGATAACGGGGAAGATCCATTGAATGGCGCTGAATGAGGTGAATGCAGGCTCAAGCCATGATGATATGACTCACAATGGCAGACGGTATGCGTACTTGTCGTCCCGAGTGCCGGTGCCTTCAATGACGCCGTTCGACAGGAATTGGCCCACTGTGGTCGTATAAGACACCCATCAAACGACACGTAGTTCTGCACTCACAGACGATCCACAAGTTGACAGCACCAGTAGTGATACCACGGAGTGCCAGCGGGGAGATCTCAGAGGAGTAACTGGACGCGCTGGACACGTACATTCCTTTGCGTTCACGTGTAAGGATAACCCTGATGGACGCGGATGAATGAGACGTACCGAGGGCGAAGCCGTTAATCAGCTTGCCGACGAGGAGCATCGGATTTGCTTCGACTGGTGTGAAGAACTGCAGTATGATAGCGACGATGGAAACACAGCAGGCGATCGCGACGGCACCACGGCGACTGGCAAACGTCTGAGCCTAACCCAACGACGCGCGTGGAGTCAGACGTACCCAAAATGATCCGCAATCCAACCCAGGCTAAGGCCACCGAACATTCCTCCGATGGAACTAGCGGAGTTGAAGCCACTCTGCCAGGCAGCGCTAAGCACCGGCTGTCCGTCTATTATACTGCCAAAGTCACGTCGGAAGCTGGGCACGGACAAGATACCACCTCCAACTTGAGCGTCATAACCCCAGAGGAGGGCGCCAATGGACATGAACATGCACCATCCGAATGCACGCCAGTAGATACGAATGGCAGTCAGAGGTGTGTAGGAGTGTTCGTGTGCTGCAGCTTGCGCGAGCGCATCCAGGTTTGGCATCGGCTCGGCTCCTTTCTCCATGCTATTGATGTCGGACAGCGCTGGTTCGTCAAGGTGCTTGTCCGGATGGACATGCGCGTCGATCGTTGTCGCCATTACGTGGGGGACGAGAGGGCGTGCAGTCAGGATTCGTTAAAATCGTTAAATATATGCCGAGCCAAGGAAAATCGTGTTGACTAAGAAAGGGGCCCCGCGTCCAATCCAGAATATTTATAGACAAGAAGTGGGGCTTTTGGAGGACAACGTGGAATGGTCATACCACTCAAGATCCGCGTATTGGATTGATGATATGGAGAAGCGCGTCCAACCATGCGGATACAAGACAGAAGCCTGGAACAAGTGGATAGGAAGCTGATGTACCGCAGAGGACGTCGCAGAAACGCCGGAATATCTTGAGAAGAGAGTATGTGCGATGTTCTCGGAACACGTAACGTATTCGGGCTTCTCGCACAGACAATCAATTGGAGTTCGGCCCAGGTGACTTGTAGCCACATGCAGAGAAGGAACGGACAGGAACGAGGACCGTCCGGTGGCTGCAGAGTTGTCTTGTTAGGAAGTGAGTTCAATAAGCAACTCCAGCAATTGCACCTTTCTGGACTCGCGTGCTTTTGCAACGTCCCCATGGAGAAGCAGTGGGATCCGAATCGGACTGAATGAGGCCATCGTGCGGAGCATCCTTCTTGTTTCGGCATACGGTCCGTGTTCGGTGGGATGATCGGACCGAAGTCTCAATGCTGCCCAAGCGAAATCTATAGTATACTTGCTGCAAGTCCCACCAGGGGTTGCGACGACCTCGGAGATGGGGTGGGAACATGGTGGTCAAGAACCGAGGAGAGCGTGGGGGACGAGGAGGGGATCCCATCGATCCCTTGTTCAAGGGCCAAACAAGGTTGAGACAGAATATGTGTGCCACGTGATTCGTCCGGAGCCGAAAGACGGATAAGGTGGACACAGCCACATAACTTTGATCGAATGAAAAGCGGCCGAAAGACAAAGCCCGAAATGGCGCAATCGCCGAAGTCCAAGCATTGGAGGCACCCGACGACATTGAGCACACCGTTCATCCGCTCAACTTCATCGTCTCTGTCATCGACCACCATACCCTTGCCTTACAAATGGTCGTCGCTAAGCTGGACAACGGTCCTCTCACTCCAGTCAGCGAGGGGACACCCGCACTCGACTCTCCCGCCTCTGGTCCTTCAGCAAGATACGGCAAGCGCAGACCGTACCACTTCTCCACCCAATGTGTAACCGTCGAGAACCCGCTTCAGAAGGACCAGTATGGCAGTAGCAGCGTCCCCATCTACCAGACCGCGACGTTCAAGGGCATGGGAGGAGAGTATGACTATACTCGCAGTGGGAACCCGACCAGAAGTCATCTGGGTGAGTAAACTCTTGGTAATATCCACCAATCCCCCGTCTAATGCCTAGTATAGAACATCATATTGCCAAAATATCTTCTGCCGCACATGCCTTTGTCGTGTCCTCAGGAATGGCTGCTCTGGATGTCATCACGCGACTGCTGAAACCCGGAGATGAGGTAATCGCCGGGGACGATTTGTACGGTGGCACGAATCGTCTGCTCACATACTTGAAAAACAACGGTGGAATCACCGTGCACCATGCGCACACGACCGATGCCACTGCCGTAGTTCCCTACCTACGCGCAGGCAAGACCGCCATGGTGCTCCTCGAGAGCCCGACAAATCCTCTCCTCAAAGTTGTCGACATTGCTAGTATTTGCGCGAGCGTACGTCAGCTCGCACCTGACGCGCTCGTCGTCGTCGACAACACTATGATGAGCCCGTACCTTCAACGGCCGCTCGAGCACGGCGCGGATATGGTCTACGACAGCGGGACGAAGTACCTCAGCGGACATCATGATCTCATGGCCGGCGTGGTGGTCTGCGACCGGGACGACGTTGCCCAGGTACGTACTGCGGGCGCTTCCGCTTGACTAGTGCTCATAGTCCTCATGCCGTAATAGAAACTCGCCTTTACGATCAATGCCGTTGGAAATGCACTCTCGCCGTTCGACTCCTTCCTGCTCCTTCGGGGCATCAAGACTATGGCAATCCGGATGGATCGCCAGCAGTCATCGGCCATGCGCGTCGCGACCTACCTCAACAACCTAGGGTTCAAGACTTTTTACCCCGGTTTGCCCAACCACCCAGGGAGAGAAATCCACGAACGTTTGGCGAATGGATACGGTGCCGTGCTCTCATTCGTTACAGGCGATAAGGCGCTCAGCGAGCGCATCGTGGGAGCAACTCGACTCTGGGGCATCAGCGTTTCCTTCGGTGCCGTCAATTCCTTAATCTCCATGCCGTGCCTCATGTCGTACGTCCCTGATCTTCTTACGTCTTCGCTTCCGCCCGCTGACTCTCGCGTCCGCTCATCAGGCACGCTTCTATCGATGCAGCGACCCGAGCAGAACGCGGCCTGCCCGAGGACCTCATCCGCCTCTGTGTGGGTATCGAGGACCCCGCAGATCTGCTCGAGGACCTCGAGCTCGCCCTCCTCCAGGCTGGCGCTATAAGTAGCGTCGAGCTTCCTTCTGGCGAGCGTAGGCTCACCCGCGTACACCCCGACGACGGAACGGGACTCATCGGCATGGCTGTGGAGAAAATTAGCGGGAAGCTCGACGGTGTCCATCTGAAGGAGACGGACCCAGAGTCAAGGGAATGGTTCATCTCTGCCCCTGGAAAGGTCATCCTGTTCGGCGAGCACGCGGTGGTACATGGCGTGGTACGCATTGACCTAGCCTATTTCCAAGTTTCTCATCTCATTCATCTACACAGACTGCCATCGCCGCTGCAGTCAATCTTCGCTGCTTCTCTCTGACTTCACCGAGGCAAGACGGGAAGATCGGCCTTCGTCTCCCCGATCTGGGGGGCTACGAAGAGGAGTGGGTTGTTGAGGACCTCCCATGGGAAGCTCTCCGCGCGCTGGCGGATGGCGAACCCCATGGGCCCGTCTTGGACGAGCAGCTGATCGCAGCCGTGACCAACGAAACCCTCAGAAAGGAGAAGGCGACCAAAAGTTCCCAAAACGCCGCCGTCGCCTTCCTCTATCTGTACATGATGCTCGCCCGAGATGACAGCAAGCCGGCGTTCACGTTCACCGCAAGGTCGAATATGCCAATCAGTGCTGGCCTGGGCTCATCAGCCGCGTACTCGACGTGTGTCGCCTCTGCCCTCCTTTTCCTTCATCGCCGGATCAGCATGCCCCACGAGCCTGCGCCAAGCACTGCCGCACACGGAATGCACCCAGGTCATGTGCACATCTCACATGGTGGCAGAGTTGCCATCCCGAAAGAGACGGCGGACGAGATCAACGCCTGGGCGTTCATCTCAGAGAAAGTGCTCCACGGCAACCCGAGTGGTATCGATAACTCTGTAGCGGTTTATGGGGGCAGTCTGGCGTATACCCGCCCTGGGTTTGCTAGAAAGGCTGGCCTGGACCCTCTCCATGGATTCAAATCTCTTCGATTCCTCTTGGTAGACTCCAAGGTACCACGGGATACGAAGAGCCTTGTTGCAGGGGTCGGGAAGCGTAAGGCAGAGGAGCCCGATGTGATCAACCCCATCCTTGATGCAATCCAGGATATCACTGAAGAAGCACGGCGAGCGCTGGAGGATCATGAGCTTCCGCGATCTACCCTCATCTCTGGACTCGGAGCGCTGATCGATGAGAACCATGACCACCTTGTTTCCTTGGGCGTCTCACATCCGACGCTCGAGATCATCCGTGCCAAGACGGCTTCCGCACCTTACAACCTACGGACGAAGCTTACGGGCGCTGGGGGAGGAGGATGTGCTGTAACGTTGATCCCTGATGGTTTCCCGGACGAGACTCTGGAGCAGCTCGTTGCCGAGTTACGAGAGGAAGGTTTCGATGCGTACGCAACCACAGTGGGTGGGAGTGGCATGGGTGTCTTCTCGCCCCGTTCTGGCGAAGATGCCGAAGTCATCTCAACAGAGGGTGGGGATGAGCAGATGCGCGTACCGTTGAGCAAGCAATTCCTGGACAAGGATAAGACGGAACTCGCCCAGTGGGTCGAGGCTCGCGGAAGGTGGTTGTACGTCTGAGGTGTGCCTCTGGCATGACTTGAGCATCATGCAGAAATGTGTAAAATACATAGGGAAGAATAGATCTTGTTCTTGCGTCATTATGTGAGTGGTGTGAATACGCTTGCGCAAGTAGGGGACTGCCTCCTTCATTTCTTCCCCTCTCCTCCTCGCCGATTTCTACGCTCCTTCCTTTTCTTTCGCACGCTTGTTTGAATATCACATCCCCGCTCACATCCATCACTGTGCCCATCTGACGTGGATGCGAAAAGAAATAGCGACCCATAAACACATGCCGAGTGACAACACGTCATGACGCGGCTTTCTTGTTCAACTCCTCTTGGGCCGCATACATGGCCTTCTGTCGAGCATCTAACACTCTCCGCTTATCGAAATACTCGACCTGCACACCACTATCAGTTCTCCCTCTAGTGTATCTGGAAAAATACATGTACCCAGCTTTTGGCACAGCTCCCCTCATAGGCCTTGCGCTCCTTGGCGCACGTCTTGCCGGTCTCCCTCTTGGGCTCGAGGACGTTGACCTTGTCCAAGCAGGCAAAGTATTCGTCCCTCATGTCCCAGCAGTGCTTGCGGTCGTCTCGTTTGGGGACAGCCGGGGTCGACATGGTCTGGGGCGGGAGGGACGGGTGGCAAGGTGAGAAGAGCGGCCAGATGACAATGAGAGGGGATCTCAGGGACCCGTACGTGCCTTCATGACGGAGTTGCGGAACCGAGCGGACTTCACACAGAAAAGGCAGTATTGTAATGAGACGGGTAACCACCAATTAATCTATGGGCAGTTACTTCTATATTTACAATCAGTTCCGTCGTTGCTCGTATCGTGGCTGCACGGCTCGGATGCTCCTTTTCTGGGGCATCCAGTGTTCAGGGGTGTCATCGGTAGCTCTGTAGGATAGGGCAGATTATCCTCGAACAGCTGCAAGGGGAATTGCATCAATCAGTGAACGACGTGGTAAACAAAATCAATGGACGCTATCTTCACGTGTCTGGAGGATGGGTACCTGGATGCAAATACAAATCTTCAACACTCTGCGCCCCTTCGCGGCGAACCGATAGAAGGGATTGCTTCTGTATGTTGCGACTTTGAGTGTCAGACCAGACTTCCCGGATCGGTTCCCTCCCGTAGCTCTGAAACGAAATTGACTGAGCGGGAGCTCAAGGGGGGGCTAGATCTCTTGGGGCCATAGCGAGAGCATTGCCGTCTGCGTGAACCTTGCTATTGAACGTCAGGAAAACAAGGAGGCCGACAAAATCCATCGTTCTCCATGTATTCGAGGGGATGACGAGGTCCTGGAACTCGGGGGCTGGGTACAATGCAGGTAGCGATGTAGGATTCGACGGGATGATAGGCCCATGCTGGGGCGATTCGCTGCATGGGTGTGAGCAGCAGGCGCCCGCATGCCAAGGTATAGGATGGCGATGGAAGAAATCCTGCCATTCGTGTCGTCGCTACGCCCTTGATCAGGTGAGTGTGGTTAATGATAATGATGGAGAATAGAGATCGCACATCTGAACGTAATGAACAGCTGAGCAGAAGATGACATCCAGTGTTTGCAGTGTTTTGCTCGCGGGTGAGAGACATTGCAGGGGCGAAAGAAGCTTAGTCCGTTCACCGCCTCGACGGTGCCTTATGGACCAGGATAGTTCAGGGGTGGTGCTGGGGCTCGGGCTGGAATAAGTAGGTTGTTGGACACTAGCGATGTAGCTCTTATGGCAAATGTGGGGCGAGTTAGAGGCGGGCGATGGAGGAGACGAGGGTCTAAGTACGTAGAACAGGGCAAAATCCTTTAACGCCCTTGTGGCGTAGTGGTAAGATGCCGCGCTGGGTTACTATATCATGAACCCCCAAAGACGTTGTGGACAAGGTCCTGAGATTGAATCCCTTCTGTGGCTCTGAAACGAGATTAATCTATTGCTCTGGCAACTAAGAACTATTTTTTCATTCAATTTTGCTTCAAATTACGTTTTATGGACAAAAGAAGTACCAAAGTTTTGCAATTTGATTGAAAAGATTCCAATCATAAATAAATATTTTACATCATCCAAGCACCTTTTGTGCAGCCTTAGTGAATGGGCCTTGTCTCGGAGCCGAGCCTAGAAATTCCGGCTACAACCTCTTCAGTCATCAACAACTTCACTGAACTCAATTCTTCAGATCAAGATGTCTAGCAGACATGATTTATTGTACACGAGTTTTTGTTTTGCATACACTCTGTGACAGACTAAGGGAGAGATGATTTCAGTTTCAGCATGGAGCTTTCTCTCCTTGAAAGTAGCACTGGATAAAAAAAATTGGTTTCCTCTCTCTTCTGAATGCAATTCCTACTGTTACTATGTAATGAGGGCTGAAACAATGGTATTCTCTGCTGCATACCACACTTGTGTTGACAAGATGGAACCCCAGAGTTTCTCCACTCAGCTCTGAGACAAGTCTCAGTTGTGTTCTCTTCACTCACTGAGACTGCACAGAAAGTGCATGTATGATGCAAAATATTTATTTATGATTGGAATCTTTTCAATCAAATTGCAAAACTTTGGTACTTTTTTTGTCCATAAAATGTAATTTGAAGCAAAATTGAATGAAAAAATAGTTCTTAGTCACCGGAGCAATAGATTAATCTTGTTTCAGAGCCACAGAAGGGATTCGATCTCAGGACCTTGTCCACAATGTCTTTGGGGGTTCACAATATAGTAACCCAGCATGGCATCTTACCGCTATGCCACAAGGGCATTAAAGGATTTTGCCATGTTCTACATACTTGGACCCTTGTCTCCTCCATTGCCACCCTCTAACTTGCCTCACATTTGGGCCTCATCAGTTGGGCCTCATTAAATCACAGCATCCTTCACCCAAAACCTAGACTATGTCCCTAAAATCAATTGCAAACAGCTACAATTGACAACAATCAGAGCACAGTCACATGACATGACACCCCAAATGACAGCTGATACTACAATCACCCAACTCCAAGAAGGACATATCCCAGAACATGAGACATCAGTCATAGATCATGTGGGACTGACTAGACAAGAGACATAAGGTGCTGCTCTAAGCAAGCTGTATAGTCAGCCACAGACTTTGCTTCCTTTTACTTCCATACCTAGACATATATAGAACCCTAGGTATAGCCCCTGTAGCTCTTTAGAGCTAATCTCTTCAGAACCCCACAGTCCAAGGTCATTAGGTTCTAAACATGAAGCTTTAATCATTCCAAATGTGCACATAACACACACACACAATTGTGCCTGTCAGCTGCCAATCACCACTTACTCTATAAAACCCCTGTTGATCACTCCATTTGTGAACAAATGTCAAGGTATTGATTGATGCACAACTCACTACTCTCTGATTTGCTCATCACCTGTTCAGTTATTTGATCATCAACAATTGTTGGATCATGTTGCCCTCACACATTCCTTGTTTCTCCTCATAGTACTCCAATCACTTGGGATATGTTAGGGCAACACAGGCTGACTAAGTCTGCTCACCTAAGAGTGCCAAGAGTCTAAGCAGGCAACAAGGAAGTGGAGTAGACCTGATGACTAAGACCTATCTACAGTATAGGTATCTGTGGATGATCCTAAGAGACCAAGTCTGAAGAGACAGTCCCAGGCAGAGTAGGCCTTATATTTATACCTCTGTGGTGGAACCTGCTAGAACATCTTGCTTACTCA